TTATGTAACGTTTGGAATAACTTTTTTTAAAAAAACACTTGAACTAACTTAATAATGTGCTCAATAAACAAACTGAATTTATATTGATGCACACATTTCCACATACAGCAACAAACAATGAGTGTAGCAGCAAGACTCTTGGTGGCGCAGTACTGAAAGAAGGAAGATTTACCTACTATTCAAGAATGGACATTAAAAGTAGTAAATTTAGCAGAAATGGTGAAAATTTCAGCATATCTAAAGGACCATTCAAATGAGAAATATATGTTAGAATGGAAAAGATGGATTGATTATATTCAAGGCAAATATCGGACTAAAAAATTTCAAATAGCTTATGAATGATTAAAGAGATTTTATAAAGTACTTAAATTTAGTTTAGTAAAAGGGGAGTTAAAAGTTCAAGAGGGGGATAGGAGGCTATAGATAATTAGCTTATGTTAGCTTATGATTGTCAGATGTTATACCCTGTATTTTGCTCTGGGAAGTGGTGGGGGGGAGGGAGGGGAAGGAGAGGGTTGGAAGGGGAGCAGGGAGGGGGAAGGGGAAATGTCTGTAAAACTTTTTAAAACTTTTCAATAAAACAAACAAACAAACAATGAGTGTTGTGCTCAGATTCAACCCATCTAACCTGTTTTCACGTTTCAAAGAGAAGGTGTACAGTACATATATTTATTTGCATAATTACTTTTTCATGTTTCTTTTCTACTTGTTAGAAAACAATAACTACTGTCTTAGCCAGTTATCTCCTTTGCTATTGAGGGGTTGTCTTTGTGAATAATCCAATTGCTATATAATGACTGGGAAATGCACTATATTTTCCGGATATAACATTCATTATCCTTATCATAATTGCGGTATGAAATAGTGGCTGTGCAAGTGTCACTTTGAGATTACAGTTTATGATGTGGTTTGTGATGAAAAACAACCCAAACCTTTCCCTAATTCAATCATATCCTGCTGCAGATCTCCCTGTGCCCAAAATGCTATTATTTTGTGGATTTGGCTTGTACTGGTATCATGGTTAGGAATGTTTATTAAGAGGAAGAGGAAGGAAGGGTGAAGAGATGGCGATAGGAAAGATGAATGGAAATCCCTATTTCCAGTGCAATAAATATATACTGTATATCTGCATTATTTATGTTCCTTGATCTATCCACAGTTAAATAATCCTATTCATGATGACCTGTATTGCAATGTCTTGTCAAAACTCTGATCTTTTCTACTTACGTCATAACATCATACGCAAGTATGTACAGAGACAATACCATATGCAAGTATGTAAAGAGATGAGTGTGTGTGGTGACACTGTGATGCATGTTTTATCACTTTCCCTTTTGCCCTCGCCTCCAGACACCTATTGTTAGACCTTCAGGGTGCCTCAGACCAAGAAATTTACTCCCAAACTGATATAGGAACTCTGTTTATTGAATTAAGCTATATCAATATAGAACAACACATTATCTTGGAAGCATAACAGCATTTTCCCTCTCTCCCTCTCCCTCTCCCTCTCCCTCTCCCTCTCTCTCTCTCTCTCTCTCTCTCTCTCTCTCTCTCTCTCTCTCTCATACTCAGGAAAGTTAAGGCAGAGTTAATTTGATGTCGTAATGTTTTTTTCCTGTCCTGTCCTTATATTATGTTTTGCTAACTGTTTTTCAAGTTTGACCCTATGTTTCCCACCACTACTTCCCTCATTAGGCCCAACTTTCCTTCCTCCACACATCAAAACTCTGGAAAGGTGTTATGGAAATGAATCAGATACTTGATCTGCCTATCCTCATGCAATAGCTCTGTAAGATTGCCTCTTCCTAATTTCATCTACCTGTCCCATCATATCCAACAAAATGAGCCTGTTACAAATTCCACTGTCTAGGAACTGTAATTGAAGGCCCAGGTGATAGGCCTTTTTCCTCTGTGGCACCCACATTGTGGAATCTTCTCCTCCCAGAGATGAGGTCAGCTTCATCACTCCTGAACTTTTGAAAATCAACCAAGAATTTATACCAGCAGATCTGTCCAAGGGACAGCTGAATTATTAAAATCCCTCCATCAATTATTTTCTTTACCTGATTTAATTCTGCTTTTATAGTTTTTAATGCTCTTTTAGTAAATATTGGCTTTAGGTAAAAATTGTTTTATTTATTCACTGTTTTATTGGATTATTGTACACCTCCCAGAGTTACTTTCTGTGAGATGAGTGCCATATGCATTTGATTAATAAATAAATAAAGTTCACGAGACAATTCCTGCTGTTCAGAAATAGAAAGGATTGGCAAACCCTTACCCAGGGGTGGTATTCACTTACCTTAGCTACCGGTTCACAAATGTGAGCGCATGTCCAGAGCGTAAAAAACGGGACGTGATGACATCCAGGCAGGTGGGCAAAGCCTCCCACCTCCGCCGCTACCAGTTCGCGCAAACCAGATAGAACTGGCTGAATACCACCACTGCCCTTACCCTTCTTTTTTCTTATGTCTGATGGATTAAGTTCTCCCATTCTCACTTGGCAGCTCCCCAAATCTATCAAACAACTCCTGCAGAGATAGATGGAGCTGGGTAGCCTCTTCTCTAGTCTGTTCTGGAGAGTCTACCCTGCTGAGAAGCACAGCATCCTATTCATCACAGAACTCACCTTCACTTCATAGCAGTGGCAGAAGGGGCATTACTGGACATTTTAGATGAAATTGATGTAAAAGCTGATGTACAGCATGGATGTCTACTGCACTTTGCTCTGATCTCTTCAATTTAGGGTAGCTGTTCTAATGAATCAGATATCTCAATAATTTCCCCCACATCCAGAATAGATTCTACTTAATATTTTTCCCCATTAACCAGAATGGGGGAGGAGGAGCCATTTTAGATTATAAAATGTTCCTCAAGCATAGGTAGTGATGGATGGAAATCTGGATGAATATTCATTGATGCAGGTCGTTTTAAACAAATGTCATTACATTAATCTGGTAAGAATTAGAGTTTCAATAGAGTTTCAGTTCAGCTTTTGGAGGATCAGGCTGAAAACAAAAACTTAATTGAAAGCCACACCAAATCCAGGCTTGACATCCTTTCATTTGTGTGTCTATTGCCCGCTTGTAGGCAGCCTTTGCCATATATAGCTGTTCTTTTAAGAGGAGCTGAATAGCCTATTAACTCCTATAGGAAGTCCAAGGTACCAGGAATAGTAGATGCAGGAGTTCTCAAAGGCAAAATGCAAATTAGAAACAATAGGTTGCCTGAAAGGGAGACAGGCCAATGAAAAAATGCACTGAGTCCTTGTAACTTAAAACATGTTCAGCTAATTGCTCTCTCTCCAAGGTCATCTCTTTAGTTCTCTATAGTTATATTTCCATCTTTACATCTCAAGGACTGTGTGGTTAGATTTACAGAGTTTCCATGTTTCTCAGAGTGTGGAACACAGCATATCACCAAGTTGCAAGCACAATCAGGATTATGCAGGCAGTTGTCAAAAGCTATTCTCATGTTTCCTGAGCAGATATGCAGTTGCTCTGCTCAGACAAACCAGGTATCAAAATCCACAGCACGTTTTGGGAGAGAGGTAAGCAATGGATCCTATTGCTGTCCTATCCATCACCAACTGCATTTGGCAAATGGTTTGTCTCCAGCTGGTGATTTACAGCATGCCATATAATAATATATCCATAGTCTGAAGGGACTGTAGGGGTGTGTGTCCGTGTCCATGATGTTTGGCATTTTTATCTGATATTTTAAATTTCTAGCCTTTCAAAATGGAAAACATTTTGTTGGACAGTAAGAGAGAAGCTAAAAATGACTAATCTATCATAGTGCTAATAAAAAGTAAGGCTAAATTAAGAAAGCACTTTGAGACTTACTTTTGTTGATAAGTGATATATTGAATTCATTCCCAACCCTCTCTTCAATAAAATGGTTTAATTCATGGATGAGGGTCACGCTAATTTATCTATCTTTCTAAGGAACTGCAACATTTGAAAATTGTGTTCTAAGTCATAAATTCAAATTAACAATTGTTTTTGCATATGTTATGCCCAAACAAAACTATATTAAGGTTGAACAAGATGGCTTAGTTCATATAGCATGGTAAGACAATTATTGAGCTTCTAAAAGATGCTGAATCATAACTATGCAATCAAGTTTTATCCTAGACTAGCATTAATACAAAGTGAGACATAGGATTCATCTGAAATCAGAAGCAAACGCTATAACTCTCAAATTCTCTCTTGCTTTCATTTTAATAAAAACATTCCCTTTTAATAGGCCAGATGGTCCACAAATCTCTTATTTGTCTTATGATTCTTTTAATTCTTCTCTTGCAATTCTTTTAATTCTTCTCTTCCTTTCTTGCCTTGCTTACTGAGTTTGCTAGCATACCTGTGCTTTCAAGGTGTAGCAAAAGAAAAGGCAATCTCCTTCTCTCATTCTCTGATGCCTCTGTACCAGTGATGGTGAACCTTTTCGGCACTGAGTGCCCAAACTGGAAAGTGGGCACACATGCACACGCCGGAGCAACAGAAACCTGAAGACTAGCTGGCTAGTGCACCGGCCAGCTGGTCTTCAGATTTCCAGCACTCGGGCGCGTGAGAAGACCAACTGGCCAGTGTGCATGCGTGCACTGTAAACCAAAAGAGCAGCTGGTGACGGCATGCATGCCCACAGAGAGGGCTTTGTGTGCCAGCTCTGGCACACGTGCCATAGATTCACCATCATGGCTCTATACTATGTAAATATATTTCAGGCCAAACTGAAGAAGCCCCTGAAAATTACAGTTTTTCCAAGGGCTATTGACAATACAAACATTGAAGAATGTAAAGGGCAAAATAATATTGTCTTAATTTTGTTTCCTCTCCTGGCAGTCTGTCACAACAACCATATCCCCACAGCTACTTCAGCCCCCAAGGATTATGGGACAGATAACATTAAAAGAATGTTAATAAAAATAAGACAAATAAATTGGTAGGATAATATTGGAAATAAAATTAGCTCTGATTTTTTTCTCTAATTATGCTTACCTTATTTTGAAGCCAATCAGATATAAGAAGCAGAGATGCATTCTTCCTGCTGTGAACCAAAAGTTCAGCGATCTTCTGCTCTCTAGAAAAATATAGGATCTATGAACAAAGAAGATAAGTAGTGTTTACAAATTTGTGCTTGAAAAAGGCTGAAATCTTGGTTATTTTTCCAATCTTCTTTTTTCCTTCTAAGAATTTCTCACAGCATAAATGCATTCTCCCTTATTTTAGTGGACTATTCATTCTGAAATCTTGCAGGCCACATATATAGAAAAACTTCACCCAATCAATGTTCTGTTCCCCTCTGAGCTGGTACCATTCATGGAGTAAGAAAAATCTCCTCATTCTCACCATTGAATATATATATTCTCCAACTGAGGAGAAATACATACATACATACATACATACATATATACATACATACATACATACATACATACATACATACATACATACATGTGTGTGTGTGTCTTCTCAAGTTTTCGCAGGTGTGTATTTGTTGGGATTTTGGAGGATTTTAAGATGGGATTTTAGCCAGGATTTTAAGCATTTCAACTAACAGACTTTTAATGACGCGGGAAAACACCCAAGATTTTAACTTTTTACATATATATATATATATCTTTGTAACTTTGGAATAATGTTGAACACCTTACCTTATCATCCTGTCAGACATGAAAGATCTGAAGATCACACAGGAGGTTCCAATTAAACCGATTTATTATTAATCATGTCCAGTGGTTGTCCAGTGATTCAAATAATTTAACAACAGGTTCTATGGGTGTGGCTAGGTGGGCGTGGCTGGGTGGGCATGGCTGCATGGTCATTTGTCTGGGTTGACATGGCTAGGGTGGGTGTGACACAGGACTCACGTGGTGCTAAGGAAGGACTTCCTGAGACCCTCCCTCAATCTCATTATACAGGTAATCCTCCAGTTACAAATGGAATAGAGTCTGCCAATTACATTTGTAACCTGGGGATTTGTTTGTTTGAATCATGTTAAATGATCGTGATCACTCCCTGCTTTCCCCAATGCATTTGTTAATAGAATACACTGGTCTTTAATTGCACATGAGGTATCTCAGGCTGGGGAACAGCATGTGGGGCTTAATGCTGGAGCAGACCATTCAAGGCCTCCCCCAGTCCACTGAGATACCTCATGTTCCCCTACAATTGCTTCCCCCATCCCATCCGCTGGGCCTGCTTTGCTAATATCTCAGATTCCACTTACTCCTCCCCACCCCATTTCCGATGGATTACTTACTTTTTTTTTTTTTTGCTATAAAGGTATATTTTTTACTGATATGTATTTTGTTAATATAACTAAATAAGCCATTGTACACTTGAAGCATTGTTAAATACAATCTGATCAGAAACAAGAAATTTGACAAGCCTAATGTACAATGCTTGATAGTAGCATTATAAAAAGATTTTTCCGTGAAATGTTTAAACACTCAGAATTTTTAAATCTGGCAATCTTATGTCAAAAATGGCTAAAATGAATACCTTTGAAACACTGAATTCTGTGACATGGATTTCAAGAACTACAAGAACACAAAACTACATTAGTTGTTCAGTGAAGTCTCATTCTAACATTAGCAAAGGGTTTCTCACAGACTCTCAAGCAAATATAAAAACTTGTTGGATTTGTGATTATTCCCCCATATATTGGAAGCTGTTCTTCTGCTAATGGAAGCAGCTATCTGTTAACATAGGTACTTTCTAAAATTTTAGCAAGTACCAGTATATTTTTTGAAACAGTAATAGCTGTATTTTAAAGTCATTGTACTAGCTTTTTACTGTGGTAATAAGATCACTTTAGAGACCACTGTAGGATCTCTATATAGCTGTAGGGATTTTGCTCCATTAGGAATTCTGTTACCTTTTTTTCCTGCTTCCTTTATGTTGTTCTAAATAGATAAATTATTAAGAAAAATCAGTTAAGGAGTATGTATGTATGTATGTATGTATGTATGTATGTATGTATGTATGTAATGTATTTATTATTTATTTATTTATTTATTTATTTATTTATTTATTTATTTATTTATTATATTTCTATACCGCCTTTCTCCCGTAGGACTCAAGGCGGTGTACAGTCAAGAAAAAATATAGACACACAAACATCATAAAATTGCTAATTAAAATTATTACTTAGTTTGGTCAATTAAATAAAACCCAGAATTAGATCACATTTAAAAAATCATTCACATGTTCGTATGTTTAGCCCCGCCTGTTGGAACATCAGGGTCTTGAGGGCATGGCGGAAAGCACAGAGATTAGGGATATTCTGTATCTCCGGGGGCAGTTCATTCCAAAGGGTTGGAGCCCCCACAGAGAAGGCCCTCCCCCTGGGCGTCGCCAGTCGACATAATTTAACTGACGGTACCCTGAGTAGTCCCTCCCTGTGAGAACGAACTGGTCGGTGGGAGGCTATTGGTGGCAAATGATGGTCTCATAGGTACCCAGGTCCTAAGCCATGGAGAGCTTTAAAGGTGATAACTAACACCTTGAATCGCACCCGGAAGACCACCGGGAGCCAGTGCAGCTCGCGTAGAAGAGGTGTTACATGGGCGTAACAAGCTGCGCCCATAATCATCCGCGCGGCTACGTTCTGGACCAGTTGGAGCCTCCGGGTGCTTTTCAAGGGGAGCCCCATGTAGAGAGCATTACAGTAGTCCATATGGGAGGTAACTAGGGCATGAGTGACCGTGCACAAGGCGTCCCGATCCAGAAAGGGACGCAACTGTCAGATCAGGCGAACCTGATAAAAGGCACCCCTGGCCACAGCCGTCAAATGATCTTCTAAAGATAACCGTGAATCCAGGAAGACACCCAAGTTGTGGGCCCTCTCTGTGGGGAGCAAGATCTCATCCCCTATTGTCAGTGATGGTACCAGCTGACTATACCGAGACGCCGGAAGCCACAGCCACTCGGTCTTGGAGGGGTTGAGTCTGAGCTTGTTTCTCCCCATCCAGATCCGCACGGCCTCCAGGCAACGGGACATCACAGCAAGGGCATCATTGGGGTGGTCTGGGGTGGAGATGTATAGCTGTGTGTCATCAGCATACTGATGAACACTCACCCCAAAACCATGGATGATCTCACCTAGCGGTTTTACATAAATGTTGAACAGAAGGGGTGAGAGGACTGACCCTTGCGGCACCCCACAAATAAGGTGCCTCGAGGTCGACCTCTGCCCCCCTGCCAACACAAACTGCGAACGGTCAGAGAGGAAGGAGGAGAACCACTGAAGCACGGTGCCCCCTATTCCTAACCCCTCCAGCCAGTGCAGTAAGATACCATGGTCGATGGTATCAAAAGCCGCTGAGAGATCTAATAGGACCAGGATAGAGGAGCAACCTCTGTCCCAAGCCCTCCAGAGATCATCCACCAATGCGACCAATGCCGTTTCCGTGATGTATCATGACCTGAAGCCCGACTGGAACGGATCCAGATAGACAACTTCATCCAGGTATCGGGGTAGTTGTCGCGCCACCACACTCTCAACAACCTTCGCAACAAAGCGAAGATTGGAGACTGGACGATAATTTGATAATATAGCCGGGTCCAGGGAAGGCTTCTCGAGGAGGGGCTTCACAACCGCCTCTTTCAAGGCGGCGGGAAAGACACCCTCACTCAGAGAAGCATTTATAATCCCCTGGAGCCAGCCTAGTGTAACCTCCCGGGAGGCCAGTACCAACCAGGAGGGACACGGGTCCAATAAACATGTGGCAGCATTAAGCTTGCCCAGAATCCTGTCCACGTCCTCAGGAGCCACAGAGTCAAACTCTTCCCAGATAACGCTCTCAAGACCTGCCCCCGTCTCCTCCCCTGGATCTACCCAATCGGAGTCCAGGCCTTCCCGAATCTGAGCGACTTTATCATGCAGGAATTGTACAAAATCCTCAGCTCGACCCTTTAAGGGATCTTCCCGTACCCCCACCTGAAGTAGGGAGCGGGTCACCCTAAACAGCGCAGCTGGGCGGTTCTCTGCAGATGCAATAAGAGCGGAGAAGTAGCTAGACTTCACCACTCTTATCGCCACTAGGTAGGTCTTAATATAAGATCTCACCTGTGTTCGGTCAGATTCAGATCGGCTTGTCCTCCAATCGCTCTCCAGGCGTCTTTTCCGACGTTTCATCTCTCTCAGCTCCTCGGAAAACCAAGGAGCTAGACGAGATCGGCATCAGGTCAGAGGCCGCAAAGGCACGACGCGTTCCAAGGCCCCAGTAGCCGCCCTGTCCCAGGCGATCACCAGGTCCTCAGTCGAGTTGTGAGCCAGAGTCTCAGGAAATGGCCCAAGCTCCATCAGGAACCTTTTGGGGTCCATCAGGCGCCTGGGACGGAACCATTTGGTTGGTTCCATCTCCCTGCGGTGGGTGGAAATGACTTGAAAGTCCATGTGAAGGAGAGAATGATCAGACCATGACAAGGGTTTGATGTCTATATCCCCTATTCTTAGATCATTCAGCCACTGATCAGAGACAAAAATCAAGTCCAGAGTGTGATTTCCCAAGTGGGTGGGGCCTTGAACTACCTGGGTCAGGTCCATGGCCGTCATGGAAGCCATGAACTCCTGAGCCGTCTCCGACATCTCACCAGCAGATGGCAGGTTAAAATCCCCCATAACAATAAGTCTGGGGGTTTCCACTGCCACCCCGGCTATAATGTCGAGCAGCTCAGGCAGGACCGCTGTTATGTGGCAGGGAGCCAGGTACGCAATCAGTAGGCCCATCTGAATCCCCCGACCCCACTTCACAAGGAGGGACTCACATCCGGCTATCTGAGGAACAGTGGCCTCCCTCGGGCAAAGACTTTCTCTAATGATTGCTGCCACTCCCCCACCCCTTCCCTGAGTCCTTGGCTGATGGAATGCACGGAAACCTGGCGGGCACATTTCCACAAGGGGAACTCCTCCCTCCTGGCCTAACCAGGTCTCCGTAATCCCTGCCTGAGTAGAGCTTTAGAGGATGAACTAGTCTGAAGAAACAGATTGATTCTCAATGACTATTCACTTTTCTTTTATCAAAACAAAAATGTACAATTTGCTACAAACATCAAAGGATGGACATAAATGATTTAGTTGCAAATCGGACAATTTTAACATACAGTTCTTTTATATTTTTAAACATAATCTTAATAGGTTATATTCATGCTAACTTAATTACCTTTACTTCCCACTGAAAATAATGGAAATATTAATCATGCCATTTATTTTATGACTTACTTTTTGAAGATCTTACTTTTTTTTTGAAGATCTGCAGAGGTCCAAAAGAAGCTGACCCACTGGCAGAGAAGCCAAAGTGTTTTATTCAGATGATGGTGAACCTGTAAGAACATGAAATCCAAGGAAAACATTTTCACTAGCTTCTGAGTAAAATCCCCTCAGCTGGGGCCATGTGGCCAGCAGGCCTAGGCCTGGAAGCAGCAGCTTTCTGCTTCAGGGATTGAGGCAGCAACAGCAGCAACAGCAGCCAATGAAAGGTGAGGTAGCTTTCTTTGTCTCATCAGGCTGAAATGCAAGGCCCTTGTTGATTGGCTGCCATGCCCCAATCCCTGAAGCTGCTCATTCGAACTAGCCAGTCAGCAGCAAGCAGACTGGGCCCAAACTAAGCCTGACTAGACTGGGTAAAATCTAAGCCTGCAGACCCTCATGGCCGAGAAGCTGAAGTCTTTTATTCAAATGGGGAAAGCTGTTTTCTTTATATCTCACATTCTTACAGTTTCACTGGCTTTTGAATAAAATACTTTGGCTCAGTGGTGAATTGTAAAATTTGTTACTATGGGCATGGCCATAATGGTGGGGGACGGTAATGGGGGACGGTAATGTGACAGGGTGGGCATGGCCAAGGTTTTTTTTTTATATACTTTTAAAAGCATTTTTTCTATAACCTCTTCGGCCGAAGAAAAAATGCTTTTAAAAGTTTTTTAAAAAGCCTCTGATGATCCTGCAGTTCAGCTGGGCATGGGGAGTGGGCAGGGTTTTTTGCTACTGGTTCTCCTAACCACCCACCATCATCGCTACTGGATCGGGATTTCACCCCTGCTTTGGTTTCTCTGCCATGTGGCTCAGCCTCTTCTGTAGCTCTTCGAAAAATAAGTACAGTAAAGCAAGAAATGGTGTGGGAAGGGTGGATCAAGACCTTCCATTTCAGCCTGTAACAGACCGGGGGAGCCCTAGGAATCCTGGACGGGGACTGGGAGGGTAGATCGGGGCCAGGGACCCTCCATTTCAGCCTGTAACAGGCCAGGGGAGCCATAGGAAGGCCTGTTACAGGCCGTTTGCACCAGCAAACAGGCAAAGGAAGGCTCACCAGATAGGCAGGTAGCTGGGCTGTGTGGGAGGCTGCAGGGGAGGCAGGCAAGGAAGGTGGGCTGCCAGGACAGCATGGGAGGCTGTTGGGTGAGAAGTGAAGGAAGACTCACCAGGCAGTGATCAGCTGGGCCACGTGGTTGAGGCAAGCTAAGGAACCAGAGAGCAGCAGCAGCTATGCCTCAGGCATGATTCTAGGTACCAGCCAAGGCAGGCGAGGTAAGATAAGGAGTGACTAGGAGGGGCAGGGTGGGCAGGGCCAGCCAATGGTAGCATTTGCCGGTTCACCGAACTCTGTGCGGTGGGACTCTAAGGCACCAGCCAAGGCGTGTGAGGCCAATAAGCAGTGGCTGGGTGGGATGGGGCCAGCCAGCAATTTAACAACCAGTTCGGCTGAAGTGGTGCGAACCACCACTGATCATGCCTATGCAAAAGAAACTAATCAACTAATAGCACTATCTTGGCATCAGATAAGGACCAATGGAATTCAAGAGGGGTTGGACTTTATGAATTTCTAGAGACTCTTGGCTGATTCCTCTTTTGAGTCAGTCCCCACGTTCTGCCACTCCTTCTCCTACACATCTCCAGAAACAGCTCCACCTACTTCTAGAGCCCTCATTATTTTTCCTTCTCAGTGCACTACCTATTATCAATTGTAAACCAAGTGAAACAACAGTGTCTAAAAAGGGAATGCCACCACTGTAGAAACTCAGGCAGAAGTTTCTTCAAGGAAAAATATAGCAAAAAGTAAATAGAGAAGGAAGACTGGTTATCACAGAGTTGTGGGAGTCAAATAGAGAAAAAAGCTTCAGGAAATAGCACGATAAGCCCACATGGTGAAAATGAATTAGAAATATTACTCCCAAGACAGCCTGGAGCAGAAAGGCATCGGGAAGAGTTGCAGCTAGTAAGGAGATTGCATCAGGCTGCGCCTGTAGAGTTATGATCTATGGGATAAAACTGACATGCAGCACTTCCTAAACTCTTGTCAGATCAAACCTCTGCAGGTTTTATTTCCAGTATCTAAAAGAATGAACGTTCTGTTCATTCCTGCCACATATAAGGCTTCCTCAGGTATTTTCTTGAATATCTGTGGGTGTGAAAGTGAATAGAAGACAGGGCATACACTCTTCCCCAACCCAGTTCTTTTTAAGTTGAGCATGATTCATTAGGAAATCTGAAGGACAAATATTCTCACATTCACTTGAATGTAACAATAGTTGTTTGCATTAATCCAAGGTACTGATTTATCATGAGCTCACATGGTACAGAGGACTGTTCTCTTGGTCAAGCAAATGAAGTATAACTGCTTGTCCCAGCTGAAAGTATGGAGATCATAGTCAAGCAGAACTTTATCTACTTGCAAGACTGTATATGCTGGGAGAAAGCATAAATAATAAAGATGCTGAAAATGCATATGATATTTACCACAATAATTTCTTATATCTTGGGACAATCTAATCAAGGAGACACTTGCCAAATAGGAATTTTGTGAGTGTGTATTTCTGTGTGGCTCTTGGCAACTATGTGGACAAGTCCTTGCAGTTTTCTTGTCAAAAATTTTCAGAAGTGGTCTGTCATTGGCTTCATTCTAGAGCTGAAAGACCAAAGTCACTCAGCTATCTTTATGCCTGGAATTGACAATCTCCTAGTTTCTGGCCCAGTTTAAATAAACCTTTCCCATCTTTAATTCATAATAAAATGTCTAATTTAAAATAGTTGCGGAACCTCCACCAGAATTCTGCAGTGCCTGATAAGTCACACAATGAAACCATTGGTTTTATGGATGGAGATGCCAATGACTGATGAAGGGAGATCTTTGATAATATTTTGTAACGCTCTTAACCCTGATTTTCTAATGCTGATTGCTGCTGCTCAACCTCTTTTAGACATAAGATACCTCAACAATAACAACAACAACAAATAAAGTGGGTAGCAAAGCTAACATATAATATTAATATTATGCACATAAATCAGTGGTGGTATTCAATTTTCTTTACTACCAGTTCTGTGGGCGTGGCTTGGTGGGCATGGCAAGGGAAGGATACTGTAAAATCCCCATTTCCACCCCATTCCAGGGGAAGGATACTGTAAAATCTCCATTTCCAGCCCACTCTAGGGGAAGGATATACTGCAAAATCTCCATTTTCACCCCACTCCAGGGGAAGGATACTGTAAAATCTCCATTCCCTCCCCATCCCACTAACCTGCTTTCAAGCTCCATTCTCTTGTGCAGGGCAACAAAAGAAGGTCCAGCCAATCAGCTGGGACTCCGATCAGCTGGGACTCAGGAGGCAATGAATAGATAGGGGTGGGGCCAACCAGAGGTGGTATTTACCGGTTCTCCGAACTACTCAAAATTTCTGTTACCGGTTCTCCAGAACTTGTCAGAACTGGCTGAATACCACTTCTGACATAAATATGTAATATAAATTGCATTGCTCCTGCTGAACCATTGCTTATTTATTAAATGTTTTAGTCAAAGTGACTCTAGTGACTTATTGGCTTTAATCAAATCATGTCTTTAAAATCATTGCCCAAAACTAAACTGATCTCTGTAAAATAAGAGATCTTCTAGCCAGTGCTCCAAACAAAGTTACAGAGGTAATGGAGCTCTTCAAAAGATCTGGCTCAAGCAATGTCCAATTTCTAATAAGTATCTGACTGTTAAAGCCATACTTGTTTCTCCTCCCATCCAGCTGGCTCGTCTAAGTTTTTTAATTCAAATGACATCTTCCCTGTTAGTGCAAGAAAGAGAAAGTTTAGCGCCCCTGATACATTAAATTCATTCTTTTCCAACCCCTGGCATCTTTCCAAGCAAGTTAATCCATTGTAGTGAAGGTTGACTTTTGTCCTATTTTATCAGAAGTCTATGAAGCATTGACAGTTTGCTGCAAGGAGAGCTTCCTGTGGGATTGTTGTCAGCCTTGGTGCCAACAGAGTCCAATTGGAACTGGCATTTCCATTAACTCCCTCCCCCAACTCCAATCTCATTTTATGGCTTTCTTTGCCAGCTTCAACCCTTGCAAATACTTATGCTTATGGGCTCGTGCTACAATCTTTTACTCCAGTTTTTGCTGCACAGCTATATCCCAATCCAATCTTCTTTTTGGTTGGCATGCTCATCCTTAAGAAACCCATGAATAGACTGCAATTTAACTATCACTAACTAATTAGGAAATATGCAATTACATTATGTTACTTTAGGGATTTTATGAAGCTGTAAGGAAGTTACCAACATACTAACAGCACTGGCATGACAAGCTATTATTTATAAGCAGGAAGCAAACACCACATTCAGTAATGATAATGCTACATAGGCTGGTAATGAAATGTTAGCAAGCAAACAGCTAAGCTCAGAGAACAGCGAGGACTCCACAAATAAACATTCATTTCATTTGCAATAATTCTACCAGGTGGGTCACTTTAAAGCTAACCATGATTTCACTTTTTCCTTATTACCTGTGAATCCTGGGTGTTGAGTTCACACGGAGCTCTTCAAGCCAATCATTGCTTAGTCCCACACTGTCCAGTAGCTGAATTCTGCAGCCATCAACCAATTAGAATGTCAGTTCCAAGATGGCTCCAGGGTTGACATAGAATTTACTGTTTTAGTTTCAAACTTCCCAGTCACCAAGTTTATTCTATCCACACATACCTCACTCCAAATTCCAGTGTTCTGCAAAAAGGCTATCTTTGTTCTAATACAAAAGAAGATAATAATCTCGCCTCATTGAAATACAATTATTTTCTGAAAAAGTGCAGGACGACAGAAAAGAACACCATTTTTTCAAGATGGACCCAGGAAGGAGGTTTTGAACACACTGAACCTACTTTGTTCTCAGTGGCACACAACCAGCAGACATTGTGTTGGCGTGTGATCAGGCTCTACAATTGATACAGTCTCTGTCATGCATTGATCTTGCTCCAACATGCCCCCCATCCAAGTGTCCCACATGGCATTCTACTTTGGTAATAGTTAATGATCTCAAATGATACTGTGAATTTTTGAAGGTGAAATGATTTCTGGATTGGAACACTTTCACTCT